ATATATAATATAATTAAAAACTTTATTTCTAACCCTAAGCATTGCAGAGCAGAAGGGTGTTGTATTACATACTTGTTCCAAACCAAACATGAATCTTACCAAGTCAGCAGAAAGCTGGAAAAAAAAAATAGTTTTATGATTTAAATCACAGCTTGCCTCATTTTAATACTTCCCTTATTTGCTGACTTAGCTCAAAAATACACAAATCCTTCAAAAATCCCAACGTAATAGGCCAAACGGATACTTTCAGCTGCATAAATGCATACAAGGTGATTCTTGTTTTTATGAGAAGAAAAACAAGAAAGACTAATTCAATTTGAAAGCAAATGCAAACAAATAAAATAAGGTTAAGAAAAATAATTAACCTCTATCAGCCATAAATAGTGATGTCACTGCCCAGTTTGGGCTTTTTCGCTCACTCTGCTGAGCCCATTCAGGACCAATCAGTACTGGATCAGCTGCTCTTTGTGATCCAGCAACGACACTGAGGTCGGATCTTTATTATGGACTTAAACAAATAAATCAAGCAGGATTTCCACAGTTTTACAAAACAAAACAAACAAAAAAAAAAACACCATTTGTGAACTTTGCATTAGTCTACACAAAGATTGACCATTTAATGAATAGAAGATGAATGCAGTGTGTTTTTGTGCACAGGTTGGCCTCGGTACAAAGTTCAGGAGCAGCTTGAGCTCAGTATGAAGTCACCTACGAGCCATTCCAGCTGCAACATTAACATCTGCACTTCTACTTATGAAGCAGATTTTTCTGAACAAATTTAGGTCATGCAATAAATGGAAGACTGCTGTGTGGTGACATAAGTGAGATTTTAAAGACTGCTTAGAAAAAACACAAAGGATTACTCATAAAAATATAATCCTTGTCATATACTATACGTCAAACGTTGGTTTAATTTGGCTATACAAATTACATCAAGGCTGATTATGTAATAGATTAAAGGAGGGTAGGCATAAAAATGTATGAAAGCTTGGTGCATTTTAGAATGTAAAGATATGTGGAAAGTTTATAAAATCTCACAAAAATATAATCTGACGAGGCCCGACTCATAGGCAAATTAGATATTATAGAAGAAAATGAAGCTACACTGTAGAGAAGTGATTCAAGATATAATCAAATGATACAAAAACATTCAAATTATTTTAATAACACCTCAAGGGTTAAACATTAATGGCAAAGACTTGGTTAAAAAAAGTAATGGGATAAAGAGCTATAGCTGAAAGGGTAACACTTTAGAATAAGGTACACATGATCAACTACTAGGGAACGCCTCAGGAACGAATCAGGAGATAATGGGTAGTTAACCAGTACTTACTGGGGAACACACAGCTAAGCCTTATTAGGGGACTACTGGTTTGTTACCACGGAAACGGAGGAGAAATTCTCCATGTGGGTTCTGAATAAACCCTGCACCAGTGAGGTCACAGCTCAGACATATAGTTAAGATGACAGCAGTACAAGATTATGAAATTGCTAATCAGTGGTAAGAATCCAACAAAATCAGTAATCACTAGGAAATAGGTGTGACAAGCTGTGACCTCACTGGTGCAGGGTTTATTCAGAACCCAAATGGAGAATTTATCCTCTGTTTCTGTGGTAACTAACCAGTAGTCCCCTAAATGCTTGGCTGTATGTTCCCCAGTAAGTACTGGTTAACTACCCATTAGCTCCTGAATCGTTCCTCTTTGGTTTCCTTGGCAACTACCCATTAGTTCCTTTTCATTTACAGTAACTAACCAGTAATCCACTAATAAGGCTTAGCTGTGTGTTCCCCAGTAAGTACTGGTTCACTACCCATTATCTCCTGATGCGTTCCTGAGGCGTTCCCTAGTAGTTCATTAAATTGTGTGTAACTTACTGTAAAGTGTTACCAAGAAAGAAAATGTTGTGACTTTACTGTGAGTAGTAATAAAAAGTAACAGAAATGAGCTGCATCTTATTAAAACATATTCAGAGGAAATAAGGTCTCCAAGAAAGAACGACCTGTAAGAAAACACCTTCTCGTTATGAAAAATGGACCTTAAACATTTAAATAAAGGTGAAAACAAGCAGCTAACACGCTTTAGATTAGAAACTAAACAGCACTTTTAAATAATCTGTGGAAAATAAAGTCATACTAGCAATGGAACTGTTGTTCCTGTATGTTTTTATCTAAACCTGACATTTAAATGGATCAGTTTTGCCTTTGAATTTAGATTTTACTGTTCATTCATTGAAACTTTTGAAATGAAAATGAATTAAATTTAGTCCAGCACCATGCTTGGTTGAATTAAAATTTTAAAAGGGAGTTGAAATCTACCACAATGACCTTGATAAAACCTCCAAACATCTTGAAGCCCTAAAAGACAAAGTAAACAAAGCAGCCCAGTCAGTGTGATTACTGCCAGCTGACTTACTATCAGGTAAAACATCAGGTTCTTTCCATCTATTGAATGATAGACCAATCATAATGTTTCTGGAGAGTTATAGCAGATGGTATTGATCGTGAGCAAAGTGCTCGGAAGTGAGACCTCAGCGTTCACCTTGTTCTACCGGCTGATCGTCAGCAGAAAAACACAACCTTGGAGAGCGGAGAGCTCAGGTTTCATGGAAACGGACACAATACTTTTCAGCAGCTGTCCACAAATGTTAATGCAACTTGTTATGACAGTTTCTCACTTGAAGCTCTTATTTGAAATGACTTGATGAGAAAAACAGCTACTGAGAAAAGAAAAAAGCAGCTTTGTCTGCATTGTGAGTTTGTTCCTGGAAAAGCGGCAGCTCAATCATCATTCAGGGACCAGGCTGCATCATTAGCAAACATGGCGCCAGCATGGATATCCTGTATGGCAAAATCAAGCAACGGGTCACTCGGGTTCAGCGAGCTTCTAACAATCCCCACCTTCATGCCAGAAATGACAAAGAATTTGGAGCGTACCTGAATCACACCCATACAGGAATCCAGGAAAATGGTTCCTTTGGGCTCTTTGGAAATCTTCTCGTCCTTGTAGAAGTTTAAATTATACGAGCCATCGCCGAGCTGAGTTAGGTGGAAATACCTCCTCTTGAATGACTGCAGTGATGAAAAGAAAAAGTTACAATCTGGTCATGAAACATGAATAAACTGTTCAAAGTAGGGATGCACAATACTGGATTTTTGAACGATATCTGATATGCCGATATGTTAAAACTGTTTGGCTGATAACCGACACCAATACCAATTTTTTTCCTCTAGACCTACTTACAGAGACTACAGATCTTTCTCTGCTGTGGAATTAAAATACTACATTATTCTGCATGGTCTTTGTCAGTTTGACCTGCTACCCAATGCTGACGCCAAAAAGGGGGCTGAAAATGATGCAACATTTCAACTTGGATTATGTTTAATGTCAAATTTATTCATGACATTTACTCTCTCTAACACAATGACAACATTCGAACAGTGAAAATTGGTAAATTTTCACTAATCTAAACTCAACGATGCATGTGATGTCATCATGTTGTGCTGGCGCTGCAGGCATCCTTGTCACTGGGTGATCATACAAAAACAGTGCCATATAAATATACATATATAAACAGCAACTTTTATATCGGCCAGTTATTTTGATGGAATGTCCGATATTTAACGTCATCACTAATATCGTCCGATAACGATACCACGCCGATAATATCGTGCATCCCTAGTTCAAAGTTCTCTATCCGTGTGACAGCTCAGTCTGCAAACACGGCCAATCATTTGTGGGTGAAAAACTGATTTGGGAACAGTGACATGGCTGGGGAGCAGACTCATCTCATTAAAAACCCTCTCAAATTCAATCCACCACCTGCCAACAGTAAACAAAGGCTGAATCCAATTAAACCCCTTCCTCCCACTGTTTCACCCGTGTCTCAAACCTTTGCTGGCTGTAGTAAAAACATAAAGGAGAAGCTTCCTGGCCCTCAAGGTGCACATGTTAAAACAAAGATGTAAGTGAGGTGCACTCATATTACAGAAATAAACTAAGTAAATACATATATTCAAATATTGTGTTTTGGTGTCTTTGCCGATTGTTTATACCCTGCATTAAAAATAACAACGGCATTATACTTTATCAATACTTAATTGTCTCAGCATAGACTGTAATGTCTATTTTATTGTATTTTGATTTGTTATTATCATAATTCTTCCCTTCCCTTAAATGGACATTCATTTTGTGTCTTTTTTTTTATAAGGATCTGGTGAAAACTAACGATGTATCGACAACTTGAAGGAAGTTATCCCATATTGTGCTGGAATATTTTAACAGCTATATTTTATGGCAATGTTTTTTGACGGTAATAAAAGCTGTATTAATTAAACTTCAGGTTTGATAAGGGAACCAGCGTTATGGCTGTTGAAAAACAAGAGAAGATCTTGATTGTTTCTGTAAAATTGTCGGGTCATCACGATGTCTATGATCATAATATTTTGTGCAACACACGAGCAGGTCTTTGTCTGCATATCTGACTAAACTGTATTAATTTCTTATAATGGATGTCAAGTAAATTAAAAGTATAGTTACATTTTTTTAAATTACAAAAATGAGACTATAGTGTGATGGAAAAATCTAAATGATTTTTTTCACACGATTAGTAAAAGGCTCTGAATACTCCATCCTTAGTGGCAAAATCAGCTCTCATAGACGCAGTTGTGCGATGAAAGTCGTGTCATTTTGTTCTCAGAGCAGCTTCACCTGCTCCTTCTCCACACAAGCCCCGACCTAATTTTTCCTCACGGACGTACGCGCCAAGTGTTGTGTGGTTGGGCAGAAGTTTGTGGGCGTGTTCGTCAATTCAGAAATACGCTCAGACATTCAGCTGTATGGCTCTTCAAACGCTATTAATACCAGTATTGACAAGCGGGACTTGTGTTTTCCAACTTTTTAAAAAAATATATATCTTTAACATAAGAGGTGAGAGATCAGAAAAGCTTTCACGTGCTCATCGCAGTGCTCTTACCCTCATGGTGACACTGATGGCGCTGTTCATGTTTCCTTTGTAGAGCCAGCCATGTTTGGAAATCCCACCTTTCTGGGATCCTAAGGAGGCTGTGTCCTTCAGGAGACAGAGACACAAGATTAGACAATATAAAACACATAAGACAAAAGAAAATTCACATACGATAAAACATTAAAGTGCAATTTTTACGCAACATGTTCAAAAATGTATTAAATTCTTAAGATATATTTCTGACGATGGAGTTTAGAAACAGTAAAATTGCGAAACACGTTCATGTATTTAAAAGTAAAAGAGTTTGCAGCCACATCATTTGGACATGTTTGCCGTGCAGCATCATAAGGATAATATCATGTCACTAAATAGTGCCCCCCACCAAAGCCTTGCTGAGCAGAAAGCTTTTGATCCGGTGGTTTGAGACGACCCAGATCCTGACGCAGCGCAGGACTGTCTCAGTCCAAACAAGCTGGCAGAGGAACATAAAACAAACTCTGACTATAAAGCAAAATAAACTCCTCGATCTTCAGACGAAAACTGCGACACACTAATCCCCGTCTTCGCACACCACGCTCCTATTGAGCCTTTCACATGTGACCAAACACAAAGACACCGCTAACCTCTCATGATCTGCAAAAATAAACCAATTAGGAGATGAAGAATAGAGGAGACAGCTTCTCCTCTGGTTTGGATCAGCCCTGCTTCGTTTTATCACGAGGACTTCGCTATTTAAAAGAGCTGCACTCAATAAAAAGAGCAAATGACCTTTCAAGATGTTTTATTTTTTTCAAATCCAGCATCACTTTTTCTTCCATTTGTCGAATAAAGCAAAAAGTAAAGAAGGATTCTGGAAAGTGCTGGCATGACTTCTGATGCTGTGGAGCACCGTGGTGTGAGCTGAACAGCAGCTGGAGAGGCTTATGTATTCTCGTCTGCACAGAACGCACAAGTTCACACCAAAGAGGCAGAAAAATTACAAAATAAAAAAAATAGGAAACTTTTGTTAAAGGCACTAAAACACATTAAATAGTTTTACTACAGTCACATGAAAAATAGTTACACATTTAAGTTAGCATGTCATCTAAAAGGCTTTTTTATGCGCTTCATCTATTTTTTTTTTAAGTAAACCTGTTAAAGTGATTGTTACAGATTGGATCCTGATTTTAGTGGGAAAATAAAACTGCTAACTTTTCCACCAAATCACACTAAAAGCTACTTTGCTACCTTTAGGTGGCGCAGTTTGGGATCACCAGAACAGATCTGAAGCCGCCTGACCCTGCACTGTTTCAGATAACACGTGTTTGGACAACAGCTCAGCATTATCTGCTGTTTTTGAACACTCCCACTGAATCTGAGTGTTTGTCAGGTGACTTATGAGCTAACAAGCTCATTCCAAAGACAACAAGTACACATTAAATCTCTGCAGGACAACACACCCACTCAGTCGTGCATGAATTACCAAAGGATGAAAAGAGCCAAATGTTGCACCAGCGCACTGAGATTGCTCCAAGAAGAAAACCTATTTAAAAGTGTAATAATATCTAATTTTGCCCATTAAATGCAGCTACTATTACAGAAAATTACATTATATTTCTCACAAATAGTGTGGAAACAGGAAAGACTAAAGTGGTGAAAAGAGTAAAAATAAGGTATGTATCATACCACACCAGCTTTACTTATAGAGCACTTGAAACACCCATATATGGGGGAATGTGGATCTTTCTAATGGTGAAGCTGATGGGATTTTAAGTGGTAATGCAGTCAGAAAACCAACACAAGATTGTGATATTGCCATGATTGGGTTTTTAAATTGTGCGTGAAAACTAGCAGAAAGTTTACCGTCCTTTTTAGCTTGAAGAAGAAAGTACAATTAGATACTTTGCTCCAGTTCATTTGTCCATCTTTCCAATAAAAACAACTGAATGTCATGGCTTTTCAGTCATTTAACCCTAGATTTATTGTAAATGCCCCCACCTTCTTTTCTTGTGGGATATTGAAGCAAGCAGAAGGCTGCCACGTTGTATTTTTGGAACCAGAGTCTGCACACTAGGATAGAGCCTGGCCTAATTTAACCCCGCCCACTTTAAGGCCCGCCTACTCCCTCACACTATCATTGTGGCACATGACCTTTTTTTTAAGCATGAAATAGCTAATATAGTGCATTTATTTAATTTTTTTAAATATTTGATCAGGTAAGAACTACCTGATTTACCAAGAGTCAACACCTGAATAAAGAAATCTCCAAGGTGTATTTTTTTATTAATTGTTTTTTTACCAACAGCATTATCCAGTTTGATAACATCGAGGGGGCGGGATTTAAATGTTATGCTGGGACCAGCCAAAAGAGAAGGTTGGTCCAGTTCTGGCTTCAACTACCAGATCCACACCATGGTCTTTGCTGCATGTAGAAAATGAAAATAACTGTTGCTTTTTGAAAAGTATGAACTCAGATCAGATTTGACTCTAGAAATCAGTTCATAAAGTTAAACAAACACATCATTTTAAACAACCTTTGTGAGGCGAGCTCTTTTTTTAGTCTGTAAGCATTTGGGAGCAGAAATAAAAAGTTGGTTTCTCTTTAATTCTATTTTTTTGTTTCACCAACATTTCAAAACAAGTGACACGTGAATGAGGGGAGGCCACTTTAATGTCCTTACCTAAATGATGTGTAGAGCCATGCTGTTGGTGCACATGAAGAACGTGTATTTCTATATCAACCTGCTAAAATAAATTTGGCTTTTCCTGAGAAACATTTCATCTTGTCAGATGATGAACCCTGCTGAGCATTGTCCAGAGCATTTTTAAAGGGGAACATATGGAGGCTACTGATAATCTTGAAGTTGCAGTCCAAAGTTTAGGAGCTTTATTATGCTGTCGTTATACAGTATACAGACTATTTGAAAAATACAGCAAGATGGGATTTAGGGAATTGCCTTCTGATAGGATAAATTTATAGAGGCTGCTATTGCCTTCCTTGGCCACCCCTTAGTGGCGCCACTGTATGTAAGCATATGCTGCTCTGTATATTGTTCAGGCTTAATATTTCCTTTTAAACATGTCACCCATTGACACTAATGCATCATGGGTGCACTAGTTTTAGCTGTGTGGTGAGGTTTGTCAGAAATATGTGCGTATTTTGGTTTTGGCATCAAAAACCAAAGAGGTACATGGAAAAACTAGAATTATTCAAAAGTACAACTATCATGTGTTGTTCATGTTTCTTTGAAAGAACCATTCTAACTGTTCAGTAAACAGGAACAGGTTTGCAGTTTTGATCCAACTCAGTACCAGGTGGTGATCAAATGACTTCAGCTTATTTCTTCACCCGAGTGTCCAAAACAAACGGCCACAAATCAGATGACGCGACTACAGAGCCAGTCATCGATCTACGACTGAGGGCGTCCTGGTGCCAAGTGCACTCATGGACACTCTTATGTTTGGACGTGGAGTTCATGATGGACAAACTATGACTAGCACAGGAGTCCATCAACAGAACACCGCTCGGTTTCCCTGTCGCCCCTCCAGGTCACACTGTCATTACCCACATGGGCATTGAAGTCCCCCAGCAGAATAGTTTTGTGTTGTTTTTTTCCCCCATTACAGTAAATTAAATAATTGTTCTTCCCAGTTATTATGTTTCTGACTAAGGAGAGACTCACCTCATCTTTATCGACGTCCTCGTCCACTTCAAACACATGAACAGGAAGTTTCTCAGGCCGTGACACTTTGCTGTAAACACGTTTAAAATATATATAAAATGTATAAAACTCCACATCAAGCAATTCTTCACACTTCATGGCCTAAAGTTGGCTAATATAGCAGATTTTTTTTTAATCTTTCATTTTGACCTTTGAGTTATTTTTAAAATATTTTAATTGTTTTGTGGCTTTCTCAAGAAAGTCAGGAAGTAAAAAACTTGGCAGACGAGCGATTCAGGGTTGTTAAAATGCAACATTTACTGGAACAGCTCATGAAAAAGAGGTGTATATGTTGGAAAATGACCACGTGCCCAACAAAAAAAACTCACTTTAACTGAAAATAGTGCCAAGCATTTTCACAGGCGATCCGTTTCATGTTGCATTGTTTTAGTTTCCCCCAAACTAAGTGAGAAAACATTTGGCAGCAGCCGAGGTGAGAGGGACATTGTCTGCTTGTTTCCTAACACGCTAAAGCTAAAAAGGATATTCTTCAGGGAAGAGGCTGACGCTGATGACACAATCTCTTGATAATGACGGTGGTTTCCACACCGGCTGCAGTCAAACAAATTACGCAGAGCTCAATAAAAAAGGAAACACTCTGACAGGGAAATGAGCCTTATTTGTAAATCGTATCCTTGTAATTAGGTTACAGCAGGATTTTATCTGAAGCAGGGAAGGAAAATAGATGAAAGCTGCGGCATCCATACATTACACAGTACCTGTTTGTACTCGCCCATCATACTTGGCACACAAGTTTAGCTTCGCAAGCACAGCTTACTGCAGAGCTTGGGGATTTAAACTTACTTTGGAAGCTGTCGGAAATCACCAGAATAGTCCTCGTACTTGTAGTTGACGACATGCCAGTCGGACTTGTAGGTCTTAATGCACTGTGGAGACAGAGGAGGTCAGCTGTTGCCTCATAGTTTAGTTTGCAACAAGTACATTTGGAGTCAGGTTAACACAAAAATAAACTATACATTTAGGTTAAAAGAGATTAAGAATTAAAAACCTAGCATTCCTTGAAGGAATGCATATCGCCCGCAGCCTTTCATGCCAGAGTTTTCAACTGAGATCATTTTATGGCGATAAACGCTGGAGTTGTAGCGGCGTTAGTCAAACCTTGAAAAAAACGTTACGCAAGTTCTCATAAAATAACGTGAGGTATGACACTCAGCGTGTGTTGTGACTGACTCTTAGCTACTACCGCACCAAATTTTAGCTCAGTATTGGTAAAAGTGACTGAGTTGTAGCCATTTTTATGTTAGCTTTGATCAGTTAGCTCAAGCGGCCATCTTGAATTGGACTCACTCCAAAAAGTAATCACTTGTGCATCTATTTATTACTGTCAGATAATTTAATAAAAATTCATTCAACGGTTCATAAGATATTTAGTTAACAAACAACCACACTAAATAATAAAAGTAATCGCTCTAAACTGTGCTCTTTTGAAAAGTTACACAACAGGTAAGATACTTATTGTTCATAACTTTTCCATAGAACTATTGATGCTTGAACCTATTCCCTTACCTTCACACACCCTGATCAGCTGCAGCACAAAAACAAGCTGAACTTGGTGAAAGTTTGAATATCTGATAAGGAACTGAGCCAAGCATCTGAGCACGTCCAAAATTCAGTTCTGTAATCCCAAACAGGTGGAAATAATTTTATCTGAGGAGCTTTAAAGATAGTAGGAGTGTAATCCCCCTCCGCTCTCCTGTCTAATGTGAGATTAGCAAACAGGGCCCGATCATTTCTGCAAATCAAGTTTTAAACTTTTATTCAAAACTATTTCACAATAAATTCAAACAGATTATTTTTCTTTTTCTGAAGGCATCTGACCTTTACAGTAACTTCCTAAATGGATGACTAGCTCCACAAGAATTTATAACAAGTTAAAGAATTGCACAAAATGAATCTAAATGGAACATTCTTGGAGAAACAGCAAAAAATAAAAATAAAATAAAGGAGTGTATGATGACTCCACCTCAGCCTAACCATCCCTTTGGAAGGGAGTGCATCTCTCTCCTTGTTTACTTGGAAAGCAGACATCTGTTCATTGTTAGAGTCACTGATAGCAGCTCAGTGCTATCTGTTCAACAGAAATCCACGCCGTTTACAAGAAGTGCCTCTGCAGGGGAAACCCAACCTGAGCAGAGAGACCGAGACTCTCCCTCTGCACAGCAGTCCATGTGATGTCACACAACACTAGCATTTCTGTATCTTTATGAATTCAGACAGAAAACTCTCCGATCACTGAGCTGCGACCTGCAGGTGCACTGGCAGCCGGTGCTCGGAGAACCAGCAGCGTCTGAGCTGAGTTATTTGATTTTATAGGGATAATTATCACCTCAGGCTTAAAAAGGCTTAAAACTAAAAATAAATCAGGTCTAAGTTTTTGGAGGATACGTGAAATAAAAAATATCATGCGGTAAATTGATGCTAATATTAATATGACTCATGAAACTGTAGTGATTGACACAAAACTGTCAATTTAATCCACAGGTTGATAGATTTTGCTGATGACCTCTTAAGTTCTTGTGTCAGCCTTTTTATCTATATTTTTGAACCTTTACAGAAAATGTAAATGTCAGCATATGTTACCACTCACTGAAAAGCAGATAATAACGTAGCTGTTTGAGTTCATGTCTGTCAGTAAAATATCTCTTGAACAACTGGACAGATTTGAATGAAACTCTCAGGCAGTAGTCCCTGGATGACCAGCTGTAGCTGATTGATTTTTGGAGTCAGCACGATTCAAGATGGACGTCACAGACAATCAACCTTAGCAAACACAAAAATGGCTACAGCTCAGCCAGTTTTACAAATACGGAGCAAACATCTGGTTTTCCAGGTTCTGAGTCGTCTACATCACATACTTTAAGCACAAGAACGTGGAAGATCTTAAGTTAAAATGCCATGCAGTGAGTGATGCGCTGTTCTTTAAGAAATATGTTTAATTTGATCAGTTTTAGTGCAGGACAGTTTGAGTCATTGAGACTTAAATGGCTAAACTTTAGCACCAACTGCTCAACTCACTGCTCTAAATCAATCTACTTCCCCTAAATTCACTGGACAAATTCAAAGTGTGGCTAAATATTTTTGCGTTAATAAATAAATGAATTAATGTACTAAGAAGCTGATTAGAATGAGAGGATTTCTGGTTCTTTACAACTGATTTACCTCTTGGACAAACAGGCTCTGGGCCTCCCGCTCAGCATTTTCAGGCACTGTGGGGTGCAGAGTTCTTCCGTGGCGCCTCAGAGTTGAAATCTACAGAAAAAAAAGAAAAATAAATGTAATTTCAGTAACTCTGAAAATCAAACACAATGTGAACCTCATGATGTACTTCTCTCAAATATTTGTTTAAATTTGAGAAGAGTTCAATAGCTGTATGATTTAAGACAAGAAAAAAGAAACAACTTGGTATCATCAATGTTGACAGATTTTTTATTTTTTATATTTATAAATGGATTCGTTTTGCGGGCAGCACGGTGGCGCAACTGGTAGAGCTGCTGCCTCTCAGCGAGCAGGTCCTTGGTTCAAATCCCGGTCCAGGGGCCTTTCTGGGTGGAGTTTGCATGCTCTCTCCGTGTATGCGTGGGTTTTCTCCGGGTACTCTGGTTTCCTCCCACAGACCAAAAACATGCATGTTAGGCTGATTGGTAACTCTAAATTGTCCCTAGGTGTGAGTGAGAGAGTGAATGGTTGGTTGTGTCATTTGTCTCTATGTGTCCCTGTGATGGACTTGCGACCTGTCCAGGGTGTACCCCGCCCCTCGCACAGTGATTGCTGGACATGGGCACCAGCGACCCCCGTGACCCAAAATGGAATAAACGGGTAAAGATAATGGATGGATGGATGGATGGGTTCGTTTTGCAGATAAACAATTTCACAACAAAGTTCAAGACTGAGGTTAAAACAAATCCCATAAATGGAAAAGTTAGTTACACAATAATTGTAAATATAACAATTAACTTATAAAAGCCATCATGCTCAAGCATTACTGAAAACTGAAATATTTTTCCTTCCATTTTATCCAGGAAGCCTGATAAAAATGAAGACACTTAAAAAAAAAAAACATGATTCTATTTACCTCACCTTTAAAAGGTACCATATTTTCTGGCCTATAAGTCGCACCTTATTGCATAATTTACATACCCTGCGACTTAAACGCCCAAGCGACTTATTTATGTTTTTGTTCCATATTTATAAACCAATTTTTGGCCGAGATATGACTGTTTTCATTCATTCTGACATTGAAAATATTGACCCCTACAATTTTCAGCTGCTAGATGGCATTTGAGTAGTATGGCATGCTGTTGGGTCATGTAATATGTAAAAGTGGCTATTATTCTGGGTTGTCAGCGGTGACGTAACAAACACGACGCGGTGATGCATAATAAATGCGACTTATACGGCAAAGCGACTTATTTATGAATTTTCCACTTTATTAGACACTTTTGAACTGATGCGACTTATAGGCTGGAAAATACGGAAGTGTGTGAAATACTGTACAATGTGCAAAATACATTCTCATTACATCAATTGGATTATTTATTTATTGTTTGTAATTATTTATTAATGATAAAATTAATTAAATTACGTTTAGAAAAATGTGTTTTTGAGTCGTTAGTCTTCAATGTTCCTCCAAAATTACACATTGAAATATTAGAATTCACAAGCTTTCATCAGGTGCCATAAAAAGAAGTGGCACGTTTTACAGCAACAGTTCAAAATGACACAAGACTAAAACTATCTTAGCTGCATTTAAACTGAAAACAAATTGAAACTGGTTAAATTTGCTGATCTCCTGGATCACTATGAGGTCTTGCAGAGGGAACTAAATCTTATTTAAAAACGCTTCGCCCAACCACCCATAAGCCCTGGAAACACAAGTCAGTGGACAGTTATCATTTTGTCAAACGCTCTACAGCTTTTATTGTGAGCTTCATTTTTTCATTTCACTAAAATAAAATGGACTTAAAGAAGGAAAAAATCTTATTTTATTAGCAGAGTCTAAATGACAAGTTTATTTGTTGACTTAGTTTGTGAATCTCCTTAAAACTAAAATTAAGTTTACATTTATGTGACAATGACAATTATTTTATAGAATTAGAAGCAAATAATATGAAATCAAATAAGTTTGCAGGCAGCTTCGTTTTTGTCAGCTTAGTGCTACATTTTTCTTATAGTTGTGTATATATTGTGCTGTGAATGCAGTGTGCCTTGAGACAATATAACAAAAGTCCTTTAAGACAAAGGAAATGAAAAGAGAGTAAATTGCACTAAATCCCACGAGTTGTAATTAAATAAGTTACTTTGATGTAAATACACATAGAACTGCCGCCTTTGTCTCCTTAAAAACTCCTCACATTCGATGCACAGCTAGGCACGGGTTGTGTCAACTAAACCAAATTCCATGCAAGCTCTCATCAGTAAACCTGAACTTCCCACTTCCTGCCTGCGAGCAAGGCTTCCTGCAGGAAAGATGATAATCTTAACAATCCATGGAAGCAAAAATAAACAAGGAGTGAGGTAAGAGGGCAACAGGAAGCTAACTAGGTTAAGTCATCGTGAAGAGAAATAAGATTCCCTGGTTAAAAAGGAGATGCATGCATAAACAGAACAACACCACCGTAATCTGACCACCGCCATTGAAAAGACAGCATGGGCAACAGGCATGCTAAGCTAAGTGCTAACAAGGCTACTCTAATATTTATGATGTGTTCAGTTTGCTTTTATTTTACTTAAAAACTAGAACTGCTTGTTAAGGACTATGAAAAAAGGAAATCCCTCTGAAGTTGGATTTCTCAAAAAGTCAGATTTCTTACCAGCCCAGCTCATAATCCAATATGGCTGCCCTGCACATGAAGAACTATGACAGCAGCAGTTGTAACATTTTTATTTTAAATTTCTGTTCATTTGTGTCCTACTAAAACAGTCACATACAAAGCTTTTTCAATCTTTAATATAGTTACAGTGAATGTAGACAAATAGTTATTTGCTGGTATTGCTAATTATTATTAGCCTGGTTATTGAGCATCATAACAAATACTAGTTGTCCAAGTTGCAACAGGAACACAGTTAAGTTGTTTTTTACAAGACAAACTTTTACATTTTTTTTAACCCATATCAAGAATGAAACTAAAACATAAAACGACAACAACAAAAAAGAAATCTAATATAAAAACTGCAAATTAAGCCCATTAAAGCCAAAATCCAGTTCATAAGTCCCCAACTTTTTCACCCCAACCCTTCTAACATCCCAGCCTCTCAGCTGTGTTGCCAGTTTGTTGGAATATTTCTATTGTCTCTGTGTCCTGATCAAATGGACTTAAGATTATAGGCTTATATGCTTTTCAAAAACATTAAATTACATTTTTTTGTCCTCTTAACTGGTTGCAAAATGTATAAAGACACATGGTATAGGTGGACATTTACAGTTTAAAGGTACAGGTACAGCAGAGCATGGTATTTCATTATTAATTTGACAGAAACGTGAAGTGATAGAAAAGTATAAAAAGAATAATGCTTTTAGAAAAAATAAAGAAAAGAAACATGATGAAGTAGATAGTAAAAAATATTACAACCCATTGAAGGTTTTATTTCAGATAAAAAGTGAGAACTTAAGCAAAACAAAGCCGGTCTGTCTTCACGCGTTTGCAGATCTATACATACTTGTTTCTGTGCAAAGGGTTCAGGATGGAAACGCACATGCCTGACCTGTCGCTCAAACACAAACTGATTACAGTCCTGAGTGAGCAGTAGTTTGAGAAAGCAGAAACAGATGTTAAGGTCAGTCTCTGTGTCACTGTGTTTTTTTTTGTCAGTCATAATCACCTGTCAGCCCTTGACAACAAACTGTTTGTAACTCTGCCGTGCTGTCTTCACGACAGCGGCCTGAGAGGACAGTCAAGGCTGCCGTGTTACTTAACACCCAGCTGTCGGGCTTTCAACCTCCAACAACCACAGCTATACAGACAAACCCAACATATCCTCCACAGACAACTTCATTCTTACTCATGCTAGCTTTTTCAACATAGTGACAAGAGATAACAGAATGATAATTTTCTCTAAATTCCTTACCAAGAACACGATCAACAGCTTGTATCTGTTTGAAATGACGACGTTAGACTTCTTGCAGAGAACTTTGCATGTACTGGAACCTATATAATGATCAGATGTTTAAGGAAGTGTAAAATGAACTTGTAGCTGTTTAATGTTGGCCCCATATTAGGCAACTTTATCTTTTTAGCAGCTCTGACAAATACAGGCATGAGAAAGAGTTGGCTGGTCAACATGGTGTTTTTAGCTAAATGTACTGTGTATATCCTGATGCATGCTCATGTACTGTGTATGTTTATTACTTAAAATTGCAATCTGGGTCAATTTGGGTCAGATTTTAGAAAAACAACTTAAAGAGACATCCCAATACTGTGAAAAGTACCGTAATTTCTGGACTATAGAGTGCAACTGAATATAAGCCACGCCCACACACACAAAAACAAACTTTTGTACATATATAGGCCGAGCTGGTCTATAAGCTGCAGGCATTCATGTTATAACATGAGACTTTTACACAGAAACATTTTGAGGGTGGGTGCATGAAGAGCAAAATAACTGACCTGAAGAATTTAGTGAGCGTGTTTGTAACTCAACGTTTAATTGGTCCACTGTGACATGTTCTGTAATTTCATTAGTTAGATTATTTTTTTTACCTTTATTTATATAGGTAGTCTCATTAAGTCACGAGGACCCACCCCCCAAGAGAGACGTGTACTGGGCAGCTATGTGAGCGCCCAGGTGTGATGAGGCTAAATGTTTTTGTCAGCAGGAAGCTCGTTAACCCGTCAAAAAATAAAATCCATAAATTAGCCGCAGCATTGCGTGGTGCGTGGTTCAAAGCATGTGAAAAAAGTAATCACGGAAATTACGGTAGTTGACCTACAGAGTAGAGTAATGGACAGGAAACCTTTGGATTGTCCTGCTTTGCGATTACATTTCGGTGCAGTAAGAGGACCGGTGCGATCATTTGAACCAGTATTTATTGTTGTATGATTCAACTGTGAACTCACAACTCTGCATAAAAATCAGTTTCTGGAGTTCACACTGTTCGTACACAAAACAGTCCCTGAAACACAAAAAGATTCATAATGGACTATATCATCTTGCATTTTTAATAAACACTTACAGAAGCAAATTTTAAACTGCCTATTTGATATTAGTTTTATGTAGGCATTAAAATGTATTTTGATTTAAAAACAACACAAAACAAACAAGGAAGTTCACAGTACTAAGTTTTTACACTTTCAGATTAGTATAAAAATCGAAACAAATGCAGTGAATGATGCTTTTGTCATTTGAAATTAATGAAATAGTTTTGAACTCCCTCACTTCTGGCGGTTAAATTACATGCTATAGATAGTGGCTAAATTAAAAAAAAGCTAACATTGTTGGACGGGGAGGCTGTGGCTGAGTGGTTAGAGCAGTCGTCCTCCAGTGCAAGAGCTGGAGGTTTGATTCCACCAGCAGTCAAATGCTGAAGTGTCCCTGGGCAAGACATTGAACCCCTCATTGCCTCCAATGTGTGTCCCGTTGGTGGATGAATGTGATAAAGCTCTGATTATTCTTTGTACAGAAATAGTAGAAAGGTGCTATATAATTACAGTCCATTTAACTGCAGCAGAATAAGAGATTATCTCCAAAAATATTTTCCTTGGATTCCATAATCTAACCAGGGAGGGTGAGGAAATGGAAAACTAAAACAAAAGTTCCATGCAGAACAGAAAGTTCTCTACCTGTACAGTAACATTTACATTTTTTTTTAAGAATAAGAATGTTAAGAATAGGCTTTCCACGTTAAGATCCATCTCTTTGTTGCCTTTGGAGAAGGACATCCTTCAAAGAGCTCCCATTTCCTGCAGAACCAGCACCGCTCCAGATTTCCATTTTAGACTTTCCATCCGCTGCAGCGTGGAAAGTGTGACAGACGAAGTCCTGCACAGCGTGGCTCCAGATTAACGCTCGCTCTCACGACGTCACACACAAAATGAGCCAATTAAACTAATAAACCCCTTCACTCGCCTCGGTGTAGAACGATATAAACAATAGGAAAACCCCACCCAGCACTCACAACAGTGGCCACACCCGGACCAAAGAAAAAGACCACTAAACTAAACATCTAAGGAAACAAGTTACGAGGTAAATAGTATAGTTGGATAGATAACACTAATTGGAATAGCCTGTTTGAAACACATCATCTAAAAACTGTGTATTAGTACTTTACACAGCTGAGCAATTCTTACTATTGCAATTCATTATTTTGTCATCCACAGGGTCTGATTTTTCCAGCATCATTTCACAACAAGAACTTTCCTCCTCACCAGAGCATTTATCAGCATCACAATATCAGTGTGCGCAGTGATAATATCACTAAAGAGTGGAATAAACCACAGACTCAAGCTGCATGCTAACAACATGTTTGACATTCTGATGAAACCCTCAGCTGACTTTATGGTGACCAAGATGCTAAAATTCCCACATGATGCTGAGAGCATCAGGATGAGAGACAAGAAAGAAGAGTGAGAAAAATGGGGATATATCGTAACTGCAACTATAAGCAATGATAATGCTGCAACTGCATGGCTTCTTAATATCATGCAGACTGTTTCCTTGTGATTTTTTTCATCAAAAACCAGATTTAATACAGTCAGCTTGGACGTGACGGCTGCCAGAAGGCCTGAAACTCACCTCAAAGTCCTCGAGGGGGAACTGCAGCATGTCCCTGAGAACATCACTGAGGATCTGGGTCTTTCTCTGAACCAGCACATTTTCATAATCCAGCGGCTCGATCACCTTCCGTTTCACCTGAAGAACACAAAAACGAGGTTACTAAGAAACGTCAGATTCTTCACCAACAACGAGGACTATAAGTTTGACACAAATAGGACGTAAACAACAAATAAGTAAAAGCAGATGTGCTTATTGCAGCTTGCCAAGTAGAAAAATCCTGAACGTTGCATCAGAGCTGTTGAGATATGACTTCATGTTTCTGTTCAGCAGCTTTGCTCTTCATAATAAATGACTCTGACAATAAATCTCTAAAAAGTCAAAAATCACCGCTCAACTTCTGGAAGGGTCTGCGTTGAGATCAGCTTCAAGTGAAACAGGATAAACTGCATTGATCTAAAATATGGTAATAATAATGAAGCAACATTTCATTTTACAAAATGCAGAAGTTGTCTAAATGTCTTAATCTGATTGACTGGTTCAAACAGAACCAGAATCTCAAACTTGGTTAGCGTCAAGATCTGGAAGCAGCTAAATCATAAAACAGAAAAAAAAAAAAAGAGAGAAAAAGTAAAAGAAGAATTTCTCTTTTATATGAAAGTATCTGTTGTTTGTAAGAATACCTAAAGGGCATCCTGCACAAGTAATGCTGAATGCAGCACAGGTTTGACAAAAAAAATAGAGAGTACTGAATAAATTTACAAAGCTAAGTATGCTTTAATGATTTTGCTGACTAAACATGAAAACCTATAGGAACCACATTTCACCCTGTTTTGTAGAACTGCCATTGAAGCCTTGAACAAAGCCAAGTTCAGGTCAGAAGATAACCCAGTTGTGCTGTCACACTGGGAGACATGCCTTCAGATAAGACGTGCTGTCTGTCACGTGACACATTAATCAGAACCTCATTTGTGCAGAGAACTTCACGTTAACTTCACCAGCTGAAGGGTCTTTGTACAATCAAATTTCACCCAGAGCCAAAAACATCAATGACTTTTTGTGGCAGGTTTTTGCTATTAAAAACCACACGTAAATGCTTTTCAACAAGCCTCTGTGAACATGCACACACTTTCAGCAGGCAATTATGACTTTAGATGCGTTGTCACTGTATGTGTGAAACGATAAAACACTTTCCCAGTAACTTCCAAAGCCTGCGAGCTGCAAAGATGCAGAAGCAGTTGGATGGAGACTGAACAGTCAGCACTGAGATGATAGGCTGGGGGATAAATGGGTAACACTTTACAATAAGGTGCACACAATTTGATTAACTACTAGGGAACGCCTCAGGATCGAATCAGGAACAAACCAGCTCGTAATTGTCAAAAACCTGTTTCCTTGTGAATACTGGTTTTATTGGATTCTTACCACTAATCAGTGGTAAGAACTGATTTCATAATCTTGTACTGCTGACATCTTAACTATGTCTGAGCTGTGACCTCACTGTTTCAGGGTTTATTCACAACCCACATGGAGAATTACTCCTCTGTTTCTGTGGTAACAAACCAGTAGTCCCCTAATAAGTCTTGGTTGTGTGTTTCCCAGTAAGTACTGGTTAACTACTCATTAGCTCCTGATTTGTTCCTCTTTGG